GCACTCGTAGGTTGATTAATACGTTTTTAAAAGGTTCTCGTGCAAAGTTTGAAGAAAAATTCAACAGATTGCTTAATGATTAGTTTGTGTAACGCGCGAGGAAAATGTCTGGGTAAATAACTAGATTCGATGCATGTCGGGAATGCAAATTTTTGTTGCACCCTAAGGAACGAGCATATAGGGTTAAATTAACCCGCTATTGTTATGGTAATGGGAATTACCTAAAATCCGGTTTGGACGTAATCAAATACGGGCGCCGGAGGAAAAGAAAAATCGCCGCAAAAGGGGAGGAAATAAGGAAACCGAGATGTCTTCGGGGAGAGCGGAATTAAAATTCAAGGCGGGTGAAACACTTTGCGATTTCAGGTAAAGTCTACTTGTCGACTGCAGACGATGCCACATGTGCGGGGAAAATTCGCAATTCCGCGGACTCGCTGCTTCCGGCCCGCTTGTTTCAACATGTACGTTACCGAAATTATGAGTAACCGACCGCAAGCAGACGGAATAACGAGGAACGAGAACCCCGAAAAAAACAAATTCATCGACCTACATTCATATCCAAAATTTCATTTGAATAATTCATTCAATCGTAACTAGAAAAGTTATTAACAACCCACGGAAAATCATCACGCCTGCTTAACTCCAGTCAATTTCGCACCGCAAACGAACCGACGGCCCCCCCATCAAAACACAATAAAAGACCAAACCGGCGGCGACAAAAGCGAGATTAATATTTTTTTGTCGTAATAGAAAATCACCGTCGGTTGACGCGTCAATCATCGACAGCTGACAACGGAAATTTCAATTTTTATGTTTTCGAACAACAATAACAAAACGGTTTCGATGTCACTTGACTTACTGACAATCCCGATTGGATTGCTGGCCGGTAAGGCGATTTAGGAAGAGGCCGGGGTTCCTTTTGGGAGATTATAATAATCATCGTACCTGCAAATTTAATGCGATTTTAGGGCCTACAAGGATCAGAATATGTTGAGGAATTTAGTTTGTGCTAACACTCAAGCTTGCTCTTGCTGTGGATGGAGCTTCTTCAATTTTAGTTATGATGCTACTGGTTAATAGAAATGTTGTTTACTGGTAATATATAGTGGTGAAATTTTAATATGAATGGTATAGCTAGTTAACGACAGCGTAGCATCTTCAATGGGTCCATTAGCGGTGAATTCGTCGGCTGGTAATTGATTAGAAACAGCTCGTCTGTTTCTGTTTTCCGCGGAACGCGCGTAATCTAACGGAAGACGTGCGGAATAGACGTTTAAACTCGCCCCGCGCGTTTATTTAGAGAACCGACTCATTCGTTCACCTGGTTTGTCGAAATAATTGGTTTTCGTCTAACCGCATTACCCCGTCGACTTCGAAATTAGATAAATCGTTCCGGGCGGATATCGGCGATCGGATTGTTCCGGCAATTGGAGGTTAATTTTTTTGCTGAATTCGAGTACTGCACTTTCGCTACGACCGGGTCGAGACTCGAGAATAGAAATCTTTACATCTGCGTTCCTAAGAAAACAACACTTTCTAATACCGCCCGAGGTGCGTATGAACCATTTACCTGTAAAGTAATTTCTTGAAAAATGCCCATAGGTACCCTATAGATTCTTGTTTTCGCAGTTGGTTGCCCCCGAAGATAGGATTAAAGAGCCGATATTATTTTTGGAAAATTTGCGGCTGGGGAGTAGAAAGTTTTTTGTTCGGCGCCCGAAGGCGACAAATGCCCCATAGGAAAAGGTCTTTTAAATAAATATTTTATTGTAGCGAGTTTACTGAGAAGTATTCGGACTGATGAAATTTTCGAATCGATTGATTTGGAGCGCGTCCCTTTCTGTCTTGTACGCGATAGGGTTTGTCTCCGTCGGGTAGGAAAACATATCGAACGAGCAAACTATGGCCGGTATAATGGGCCCCGTAATAATGGGATAATTTGTGTAATTAGAAAGCATGTTATATCATGTTTACTCGTGACTATACCTAGTTAAACCCTTTACCAGACCGTCTGTCCATGCAGAAACGCCGATGTATTGATGGAACAAATATACTCGGACATCAAACTGACTGAATATATCAGATACTAAATTAATTTACTTAGGTTTGCGGCGCAAAACTCGTTACTAGAACAATAAACTTAGGTATATATCTCGGCTGGATGGAACTCTTCGACGGATTATCCGGAAAACTCGCTGGTTTTTTTGGCATTCCGACAATAGTCCCGTCGATTCGGAAGGTAGAATCTATTTATTGGCCGAGCCGAATCCAAGGGATCCATTTACAACAAACATCTGGTGATATTCCGATTCATTTGAGCCTTTTTTAGCGGAGTTCGTCGAACCGAAAAGGCGGAACAGACGCCGATTGTCTTCGTCGTCCGCATGGATATCTATTGATGTCGTTTCGATTTGATTTAATTAAATTCAGCTACTGCGTTTCAGCGCTCTCGAATCGATATTTTTCGAAGAGGTTTCCATCCAGTTAAGGAACTGCAGTCGAATGGATAATTTTCATAAAAATAGCAATCTCTTTATACATTGTCGCCTTTTCCCCACGTATTTCCTCTTTACTGTTATTCATTCTCATCTCACTAAATTTACACACTATACAAGTTATAATTGAAATGCCATAATTCCTTTATAAATGACGTTGCTACTTATTAAATATTAATTAAAAATAGATATACAAATTTAACCGAGCTGTGAGGTTTCCAATTTCATAGCTGATTAATGGAGGCTCGTAAATAATGCGAAATAAAAACAATTCATAAAGTCCGTCAACGCGCTTTTATACAAATCATAAAAATAAAGAGGAAGTCGTTGATAATTTTATTCGACTGCAACGAAACGATAAATGTGTTGACACCGTGACAAATTCGTTCATAATTACATCGCATCGGTATATTTTTTTGTGCTGCTTTCCCAGATATAGAATCCCGGTATTTATCATACAAAACGTTCGGCGTCTATTCGAACGTTATCAAAGAAAAATAAAACGCTCGAACAGTCAACAAGTCCGAGACCGGTTGTCGAGCGGGCGAGTTTTTCCGCGGCGAAAACGCGAGTATATACGCACACAAAAGGGCCCCGTCCTTTTTTTTCCGTCCCGTCCTTTTTTCTCTCCTCCAGCGGCTCGTTCCGTTTTAATTGAATCGCTCAAATGAAATTCAAAGGGTTCCGGCTCCCAACGAAGTTAAAAAACTTCCCGATGCCATTCCTTCGGGGACTCTCGCCGACTTCAAAAGCTTCGGAAGTTTCTCTCTTCCCGTTTCGAACGCGCGAAACTGCTCCGAAAAGCTTCGTTCACATCCGTTTCATTCAGTCGCTTAATGACTCACCCTGTACAGTTTTAACTCGTTCTATTCCCTTGGTAATGAGTAGAGTGGGATAATGCAAGCTCATTTTTTAAAAAGCTCCAAAAAGCTTCATTTAGTCACATAATTACTCACCCTGTAACAGTTTACTCATTCTATTCTTTTTATAATAAGTAGAATAAGTAATGCAAGCACATTTATTTAAAAAGCTCCAAAAAGCTTCCTTTACGTCTTCCTCATTTAGGCACAGAATAACTCACCCTATACAATATACCTTCTTCTACTCCATATGAGAATCTAGAGTGGGATAATGTAAGCTCAAAAAGCTCCAAGAAGCTCCCTTTGTACCGGCCTCAATCAGTCACATAATGACTCACGCTGTATGGTATAACTCCTTCTAACCCTTTCGAAGCAGCTTAATTACTCCCTTTCGAACCGATTTAATTTTTAACGATGTAATTACCCGAATAAGTCGGTGATTATAATTATTAATAAGCGCCCTTTCGGGTGCCCGTCCTGTCGACCCGTTCGCTCCGGTAAATATCTTCATCGCCCGTGGAAAATAGTCGAAAGACGTTGACGTGCTAACAAGGTGAACGCAAAAAACCTCCGGATTTAATAACACACGCGAGCGGATCGTTGAAATCGTTCAGGAAAGTATTAGTACAGTTCCACCGGTAATACTGGTACGTCGAATTGGTTTAGAGAGAGTACAGATCCACCCTGTAGAATCGGAACTGGCCGGTACGTGCCTGCGTAAAGCTAACAAGACCGTACGGTTTTCCTTTTCGTTTTTGGTTGAAACTTCGCGGTGGTCTCGGTAATTACACGTTTCGAAAATAATAATACAGCTCATTCGAATTTTGAGTCATGAGAACCTATCTTTAGTAAACGATCTGCCTGGTATAATATGGCCGGAGAAACGGAGAAAACGAGATTCCACTTGCGGGGCCTATCTTATTTCTAAATAGGTGGATCAAGGTCGGGCGCGCTGCGGGGCTGGAAAAATGTTACCGATATCGATCATTTGCTGAAAATAGTTGGGGATTTTTGTATCCATCCTATGGCCACCAAGATCACCAGATTTAACAGCTACATACTTTCTAAAATAATTCGAATTCAAGTCCTTGAGATCCTCTTATTTACAAGTTACTATTTAGTAGATAACGTACATTATTTTTTCTACAATCAGTTATATCGTTCGATCAATTCAAAATAAAGTAGCCGAATTGTTCAACAATCCACGAAAAATAATAGGATCCATCTGAATAAATCCAATTAACACTATTAACATTATGATTGATACATTTTTGACTGGCCATCAAACTTGTTGTATACAAATATTGACATCAGATGCCCAAATAGTCCATCAAGATCGAATCGAAAAGGCTTTTAAACGCGCGCTTTGTTAGTGAATCAGCGGATTTTTAAATGGTTTTGATTAAAAAAATATACATACAGAAACGGGATAAAATCGGAGATCTGTGGGAATGTGAAAATTCGTTTCGTTAATTTGCGGTTCGAATAAATTTAATTTTAAAACTTTGATGAATTATTAAGGAATTAAATAATTGATTGCGGAGGGAAGGTAGATCCATTAATTAGATAAATAATTAAAACGGCTTTTTCACTTAAGTAAACACTGGATAAAACTAATTAGGTATCTAAACGAATAAAAAGGGGACAAAGTTTTAATGATTTAAACACAACAGATTAATCTAAAACTAATTCTTTTCTCAAGCGATACTCCAGGATGGTGCCCATTCTTAAATTATGCAACAACGATTCCCCACCCAAACGAAGATTCTTGAAAGCGTTATTAACCAGTTTTTGTCTCTCTTCGACCAATTGTAGAAAATGCTTCTTCAGAACAGCTTCTTCTCCAATCATCTCAAGTATCACGCTCTTCTCCACCGAGAAAATCTAAATCAATCACATTAAACATAATCATAAATTTGTATTTTTATACTCGCCTCCGACGTTTCCCTAACAAGGAATTTAACCACTTCTTTCTCGCAACCTTTATACTTAGAAGGCATGCCAAATTCATCACCATCGGTCAGCCTATACAACAACAAATCGTCTCTACCCAAAGCCAAAATCGAACCAGAAGCGATGAAGTACAAGTACGGGCTGCTGTCGAATTCGCAGATGCTCTCTCCTTTGGAGTACGTCTCCGACTTCATGTGCGCCATCAGAAAGCCCTTCTGGTATGGCGAGAGCTTCTTCAGTAGACCATTGTTCCTCATCAGCCTCCTGGAGCTGTAGATGAACAGCTCGAGCTTCAGCGGCTCCGACAGCGTCGCCATCAGCTGATCGTCGTCGAAGTACTTCTTCTGGTGCTTGAACACGAAGCGGTCGAGTATCTGCTTCTGGAGCTTGCCGGGCACCTTCATGGTCTTCATGTAGTTGATCAGCTGCAGGTGCATGTTCTCGTACTCACCTTCGCTCTTGTTCACCACGATGAATTTGACCAGCATGTGGGCGATGAAGGTGATGACGTACACTTTGCCGATCAACGAGAAAATGATGAGAAGGATTTGCTCGCAAACTTCGGTGAAGTTATCTTGGTAATGGGAGCCGAGGAAGTAGGATATGACGATTAGGAGAGATTCGACGTACGCATCGGTATTTAAATTCTTAGTTAGCTTGCGCAAGCTTATCCAACTTGTAGGTGGGATAATTCTCTCGTTCATCGTTACGTAGTAGCACCGAGGGATTAAAAAGAAGAGTATGGCGAATAAATGCAACATAAAGATTAACACAATTAAACGATTGAAAAGAAATATGTAAAAATTATTTAATTTAGCGAATAGGGCGAAATTTTCAATAAAATTCAAGACGGTCCTTAATCTGATTACGAAGCAAATCGTATACAATACAATTACCACCTGAAGCGCCATTACGAAGACTTCAATATCCGACTTATTTAAGTCGAGTAACATTTTACCGATTATGTCTTCAATGACCATGAATAAATCTATAGCGAAATACGTGAATAAATAGTGACGGGCTGTTTTCTTTGGATGCATTACCACTTCACGAGTTTTATACTCCGTGTAACCTGTGAAGAAAAAGCTCAACATCATCACCACCCAAATGAGATCTCTAATTATTTCTAATACTTTCAACCAAAAAGGAACATTAAAATATTCGACCAACAGAAGCCACCTTTCCAGGAACAAAATCGTATAAACGATCTGAACTCCAAAGTTAAATTTGCTAAAGGGATGGATAACGAACCAATGTCGACCTCTGGTGTGCAGTTTCATCTCATTTCGCATCGTCGCGTTGGTCTTGTAGTACCGCTTCACTATCGGATGATCCTCGTTCATTGCCAGCGACAATTTCAGTCGCCTTATCCATGTTTCTTTCCATTTACCGGCCGGATGCGTCGGTAGGATCTCCGCCCTTTGATCGTCTATCCTCAATGAGCATTTGTGCTCCAAATAACGCCTCATTGTTGGACTTTATGCGTTCGGTATTGTTTGACAGAAAGTCAATTGGTGACAAGAGAATATGTTTTCGGATTGCTCTTCAATCATCGTTTGTTTTAAATTGGTTGCTCAGGTATAATGTTACATCTTGTAAGAATTATGTCTTGGTTGTATGAATTAAGTAGAGAACTTTTGGGGTGGAAAATTGGAGCACGTAAATCTTTAATAATTAATAGAACATGAGTAAAGAAAATTTTATTGATTTACAATGAACAACAAACGATAAATTATTCTAAAACTATTTCTCTTGTCAAACGTCGCTCCAAAATGTTCCCCTTTTTTATGTTGCCCAATAATGAATCCCCGAAAATTGTCCAACGTTTAAGAGAGTCTTGAACGAGTTGTCTTCGCACTTCGACTAAGCGTTGAAAGTACTTCTTCAGGTGCGGATCTTCTTCTAATAGATGAAGTATCACGTTCTTATTCACCGAAAAAATCTACAATCGTATTTTGTTAAATTTAATAACAAAGTGTACGTTTTTTTACCTCTGAAGTTTCCATAACTATGTACTCCACGATTTCATTCTCGTAAGGTGCATATGTAGGAAGTTGTCCAAATTCGTCGCCATCGTGCAGTTTATACAAAAGCACTTTATTTTCACCCAATGCCGAAATAGACCCGGAAGAAATAAAGTACAAGAGATGCTTATTCCCGTACTCCGCTACAATTTCATCTTTACTGTAGGTTTCAGACTTCATTTGAGCCATCAGGTAGCCTTTCTGAGCGGCCGATAGCTTTTTCAGGAACTCGTTTTTTTTCAGCAATCTCTTGCCGCTGTATATGAACAGCTCCATCCTCAGCTGCTCCGACACCGTCGCCATCAACTCGGATTCGTTGAAGTATTTCTTCTGGCAGGTGAATATGAAGCGGTCGAGTACCTGCTTTCTGATCTTGGGCGGCACCTTCGTCGACTCCATGTAGTTGACCAGTTGCATGTGCAGGTTTTCATACGTACTCTCGTTTTTATTTACGATGAATTTCACGAGGATCTGGGCGATGAAGACAATGACGTACACTTTGCCGGTCAACGAGAAGATGATCAAGAGGATTTGCTCGCATATTTCGGTTATAATATCGCAGTAATTCGTGCAGAGAAAGTAAGAGGTGACGATTAGTAGAGATTCTATGTACCCGCTTAAGTTGAAGTCGTTTACTTTGCGGATTGCTATCCAACTTGTCTCGGGGATATCTCCACCACACCAGTGGTAATAGTAAGTAAAGGGTATGTGAAAGAACAAAACGGCGAAGAAATGTAACATACAGATGAATAAGAGTATACGTTTGAATAAAAATAGGTAAAAATCGTTTATTTTAGTGAACGAGGCGAAGTTATCCATGAAATCAAATACGCTGATCAGTCTAATTATAAAGCAAATAATGTACATAAGAAGAATACATTCACAAACAAATAAATAACTCGACAGATCAAGTAGAGGGAGTAGCATGGGTAGACATTCGTGTAACAACAATTCTACTAAAAAACATAAATCTACAATAAAGTATGTACAAAAATAGTGGAAAAAAGTACTCTTGGGATGCATAATAATCTCCTGAGTTTTGGGCTTCGTGTAACCAGTAAAAGCAAACGACAACATTAACAGAAACCAAATGCCTTCTCTCACAACCTCCCACACGTTGATCCAAAAATAAGTTTCATAGTCAGACATACTAAACCACCTTTCCAGGAGCACAGCCGAAAAAAGGATCTGCACGAAACAGTGAAGTTTACTAAACGGGTGAATGACGAACCAAAATCGACCTCTGGCGTGCAGTTTCTGCTCCTTTCGCACGTTCGCCTTCGTCCTAAAGTACTGCACTGCAAACTTATGGTTCCCGTGCATCACCATCGCCAGCTTCAGCTTCCTCAAAATCGTCTTGTGCCATCTCTCACCCGGGTGGGCCGGTAGAATATCGTCGAACTGGCCCAAGGTGCATTTATGCTCCCCATTTCTGGACTTCATTGATGAACTGGGCATTTACTTCTTGTCAATTTGGTGACATAAACTTTGTACATCGATTGTTTCTTAGCATCAAAGTGTACTAACAGCTAGTAAGTTCTTTTGGTAATATTGAAGTAGTAATTAATTTGATAAATAGAGTGGGAATCTTCGCTCTTTATTTAATAGTACAAACAAGAGAAATTGATTAATTGATTGGACCGATTTGTTCGAGCACTATCGGAAAAGTTCTAATTAGTTCGAGCCGAGAAACACCCGAGATCCGCTATCGTTTGATTCATAATTCCGCTCCTTCGTTTACAATCGTTAAGTCCATATCCCGAAGCGAAAGTGGGAAAAGTGTGCGTGGGTATACCGGGCATAAATCAAAAGTTGTTTCGTATTTTATACATGGAACCGGAGGAGCCACCTTCATATATTTTCGGGAGAGATTAAACCGCCGCGATGGCCAATTTCGGCCTTTTGTGTTTCGATTTTAATTAACTACGTGAGCTAATCGAGAAATCAACCCCGCAGTCCTAATAGTTGCTTTTCGGTCGGAGGCCGTTGTTTTGAATTTTCTTTCGGTATTCCCGGTTTGTTGGAAAAAATTGTGTGCGCCGATATTCGAGGAATTTAATCAGTTCGTATCGAAACTTCCAGCAGATTTTGCGGTTAATATACAGAACTTTAACGAGTTTAATATAAACATGCATTATGTTTTTATTAAGATGTTCGTTTATATTAAATTCTTCTATGAAGTATTTTGAGATCTTGTAATTTGATGCGAATTGAATTGTGGGGTAGCAAAAGTTTAACCTCGCCGAGCTGCCCTAATGAAAACTAACTAATTTTCGTCTAAATGTAGACACAAACTCGAGTATAAACTGATAATCTCCGGCGATAAAACTCGTAAAAAGACAAAATATTCAAATGAATTCCGACCTATAAGGCGAGCGCTAAAACCGAAAACGACAAATTAACGTCGCTTTGAATGTAATTAAGGCGGCACAGGGAATTTATTCAGTGGTTATGTTTATTTCGAAATTTATTTTCGGGGTTTTATGACTTCATTAAACACCTCTGTACAAGGTGGGTAATATAGTACTTATGGAATAATATAAATTTCACATGGTGTAGGCACGTCAATTTTTTAATGCTATACTTGAGTGTTTGCGAGAAGGGGTTGTTGGAATAAAAAACAGTGGTTGTACAAAAAAATTGAGTTATGACATCGCAACAATTTCGGTCGAGCGTCTCCGCATTGTTGCTGAGCAATTAAACCCGGACCGCCCGGAGAATATCTCCGGAAAACGAGTCGCGAATTTGAAATACAGCCGTACACAAGTCGACATATTAGTATAATAAATAGGGGAATTTCGAATACTTGCTTGATATATTCGTACAGTCGAGTAGTACAAAACAACCAACAAGAAGTTATACTAAAAGAAATAATACTCAAAATACTGTTAATTTACGATTAAAGACGCAAAGATTTTACGCAAATTTAATTTGCCGAACAACTTTTTCAACTTTACGGGCGCATCGTAAACAAAACGAAAGCGAGTTACCAACCCGACCGGTGCACATAAAAATCCCCATCGACGGGTTATTTACGCAACCCGCCGACAATGCACGGTTATGACTTCGTTTGCATAAGAAAAAAACCTCCATTACCGGCCCGATCGCCGGCGTAAATTAAATCCAACAAAACCGTTTTATCACCGCGGACCGGGACCTCTCTCCCGCGAAACACCCAGTATATACAATTTATTTATGCGGCGTACGTACATTCACAAACACCGTTTCTGGCATTCTGATTGATGTCGTGCTCGAATGCATTAACATTAATAAGGCACTTGTAGTAGTTGAGATAAGTAAGATTGTTACACGGCGTCCCGCGGGGTTCCCGCGGCGTTCCCGTATCTGGCCTTTCACGCCCCCTTCGGAGCCTAATTAATTATTTAAATTAATTTAATCATCGCCTAATCATCGGAATATCGTCGGCGAACGACAACCCTTTCGGCATGCGATTAGGATTCCCGGCGATAAATTCGCCCTCATTAACCGTTGCCCCTGAACTTTATTAGCTCGACCGGGCTCTCTTAACATCCCCTTCGGAACTTATCGAATGAATTTATAATTTCGCTACGGGTGAGTAATGGACACGCAAAGGTTATGATAAGGAAACGAACGAGGTGACATAATTATCTGGCCATGTAAACGTCCGTCTTGGAAACCTTATGGAGGCCAATTGAAGCGGTTTAAATTGAATACCAACGGGTGCTTCGGGGTAGTTAAAAAGCTCGATTGATCGTAATGGGAGTCGAGCTTGCGGAGCAAACGAGCCCGCTCACCTTTCTTAACGAGTTTACGGTGTTAAAAAGTGCGTCGGGCGAGTTTGTTTCGGATATAAAGGGGACTTTTGTGAACGCTTTCGGACGAACCAACGGAATATCAATTAGGACGATGGCGAAACGGCTTTTATTTTAACACTTCTAAACATTCTAATGGCGTTTCGCCGACAAAGGCGCTCATTTTTTGAGTGTTTCAGCCGACGGGGTTTCTCGTTTTCGGTTTTATCTTGAATAATTTCTTCCTCGAAAGGACGTTTTTTATTGTGATTGTCACACCATTTGCATTATTCAAATCCGCGAACGGTCGGGTACCTACTACGAATTCGATGAGGTACCGTCTGGTTAAACTGGATATAACATCACATTTATTTTTGAGGAATACATACATATAAGCTATTCTCAGATTACGGTGTAATAATATAATGAGTCCTTATTGCAGTGACTAATCCTTTTGGATCAGAATTTTCTAGTATGCACCTAATTAATTCGGTAATAATGCGCTTTCAGCAGACTGTTTGACTCCATTTCCTTCTCCATTTCATATACCTAATTGAATTTCGGAATAATTCATTCCCGTTCGCTCAATTAAATTTCTCCGCATTGTGTCTGTTTACAATCGACTTCCTTTGCGTAAATACTTATCTCCACATCCCCGTAGAAGCGGTACAAAAGGCTCTTTTCTATTAAGATAAAGTACCTTTACAATTTTTCCTCTTGTCGTACTAAAAACGGTGCGTGGGCACTAGTCCACTTACCAGATGAAAGCCTCTCTTGTATACACCCGTGTTAGTCATTGGGCGCGCGATAAAAATCTTTTCTCGAATTTTAATTTACCCAAATTGGATCGCGCGCGGTTGCCGGATGCTCATTAACATCCTCAACCGGCAATTTGGTAATCTAATTCCCGAACAAAACCTCAAAGGGCAGCTCCATTTTTTCCGTAATGAACTTACCGACCGTGTTGTCGCTAACATCAATAATAATTCCCTAATATTAGAAACACCCCACGTTGCCAAATCAACCGGAATTTCCGAATGTCCGATGACAAACGATTCGCTTATCTGGGAGAAGTGCAATTAACGAAGCACCGCGATATCTTCCGTCAGCGAAAAATCAAAGCGGTTTTCGGAACGACGGGAAAACGATGAACAAAAGGAATAGTTTTACGGTTAGAACTGGAACTGAAACGGCACGCTTTTCGGACCGCAAACCGACCGCCCGGGACCAGATAAGGACGAAAATTACACGGCGAAATTTTAATTGCCTTCTTTGTTTTGCTAATTGATTTCGCCCGCGTTCGATACATTATCGGCCAGCTGGATATAATGTCGAGTGTGCGATTTCATTGTATACAGGGTCAGCAATATTATACATCTTCTGCAGATAACAAAAAAGTATATTAGTAGATAATTAATTCCCTTGGGCGTATAGAAGTGAAGATAATTTGAAGTGATTTAGGTTAATAGGCTCTTGTAAGATGATTGAATCTTTTAAAATAAGTCACTTTTTTATTATTGTTGACTCTTTTAAGATAACTGATTTTTTTATGATTGTTGACTCTTTTAAGATAAGTGACTAATGTAAGATAAGCGAATCTTTTAAGATAATTGACTATTTTAATATAAGTGACTCTTTTAAGATAATTGACTTTTCTGAAGAAGTGACTCTTGTGAGGCAAATTCCATTCCTTACAGTAAGATAATAATTGATTCTCTTTAGGTAGATAAAAAAAGTTAAGTAGATACCTTTGAAATCTATCAGGTAAAACTATTTTTTATAAACGATTATCAATTACAATCGGTACATAAATCGGCAATGAACTAATGCATTAATCCTGGTGAAACCAAATTCTTGGTGAAACCGCACGGGAAAAACTGGCATGTTTTTCATGTAAGTCACATATTCGATACGTTTAGATGCGCGATATGCGTACGTGAAAGTCATATTCAGGCGCTGGTTCGGTATGTGGGAAACAATGCGATATTTGCTTCGTTTTACATGCGCTCGTGTTTTTTTTTCTCGAAATATTGTGAAAGTGCTATTGGTAGATGTAAATATGCAGGAAACGTCGGCGTCGATCGAGACGATAAGTCGTGTGTACTTTAGGGGGTCGATTGTAAAAGTACGTTTACCTATTATTTTCTATAACTCACTCACGGGGATTTAGAAAGTTTGATTTAGAATTCGAAAACTAATGGTGGGTCGCCGACTGACCGCTGAGGGTACAAAAAGGAGGAGCGACAGACCATTCCGTTTGCTAAATAATTATGGTTTTAGAAAAAATAACTCATCCTAACTAAATTAACTAATTTTGAAAAGTCACCATCGTTAATTTATCGCTACAAAACCCCTAAAATTAAGGGTTTCTTCAAATCTAAAGAGTACTACACCACAACCTGACGTCACCACTAACTAAACACAAACAACCTATACATCCTGTAAATCGACACACGCATCGTTATAAAGAGATTTTCGTTGTCGGTACGCATTTTTAATGGTCATTTTTTTTTTTCTCCATCGGGCAATCTATTGGAGGCGTTACCTTTTAAACGTGGCACGTCAGTTAAGTAAATAAAATTATACGGGGCTCTTCGCAGGACCGCCGGCGGCGGTGCCCGCTCCGCCGGGGTACCCGATCCTCCTATTAATGCCCGGCGGACCGAGATTTCGTTAATTAGCCGGCCGGTGGGTGGCGACACCGGTCG